ACGCTTCCGTTACTTGTTCATTTTGTCCTAAAATTTCCCCAATTTTATACAGATTGTTACATTTCGGGCACACAGCATATGTTTTTGTTGCCTTGTCAATGCGTAGCAATTTCTTTGCAGAATAGGATGAGGATGGGAAATTAGCAAATCTTTTTGGATCAGCATCTTTCAATACTTGGCTAAAGAATCCAATCAAGGAAGATATGGAAACTTCGGAATGACGGAATCTTGATTGATACTTAAATATCCATATAAGTATCCAAGATTCAGAAAATTCTACATCTGAATCAGCACACATGAAATCTTCATCATCGCCAAAATCCTCTAATTCAGGAGCAGCGAATCATTCATCATCAGAAGTTTCATCATTCAAGTCTTCACTTTGGTCGTCATCAATCGGTGAGCTGAAGCCAGTATCTTCGTTATCAAGTTCATCAATCAATACATCATTAACAGCCGATTCCACTGCTTTAAATTTCTCTTTTCTTTCTCGTTTAGTCGGGATGTGAATTGGTTCTTGCGATTCGGATGTTGATGAACTTGATGAACCCGATGAACTTGAGGATGCGTTTGAAGTTTCATCATCATTATTGTCTATTTGAACTCGCTTTGATACTGATTTACTGACCTTTGTAGATCTTGATAAACGATTCATCTGCTCATATTCAGCCTCGTGTTTTACTTTTGTTCTTGGATCAACTAATTTTCCGTTACATTCATCACAATGACACGAGACTTTTTTTCTGGGTTTGATTGCAGGTTTTGGTGGCATATTATTATCAATTGCAATATATCAGATTATAACTTATTATTCAAGATAGAATCGGTACGCGTTATATCGGAATTGACTCAATAATTTTTCTTAATACTGAAAGTTCGCTGTTACGTTAATCAATCGGTATAAAATTCATATTAATTAAGTAAATTTAGTATAGTATTAGATTAATTATTCCGATTTATTCAAAATTAAGCAAAGTTTAATAGTATTAGATTATATCACTCGATTTGTTTAGAAAATAGTTTAATAGTATAAGTTAAATAGTTTAATAGTATAAGTTAGCTTAATAGTATATCTGGAGTAATTAAATTAATCAAAAGAAAAACTGATCAAAAAAATAGACATAAAAAGGCCATTTTTTCTTAAAAAAAAAAATTCTTCCTTTTTCTTGTTTGTTAATTTTTGGTACAATAATAATTCTTTTACAATAATCTTTTATTATGGAACAAAGTCATAAAAGTGATAGGTCAGGTAGAAGCCATACCAGATTACATACTAAAAGTCGTCGAACCAGCAGAAGCCGAACCAAATCACATCATCGAACTGGCAGAAGCCGTACCAGATCACATACTAAAAGTCGTTGAACCAGCAGAAGCCGAACCAGATCACATCATTGAACTGGCAGAAGCCGTACCAGATCAAATACCAAAAGTCGCACCCAAAGTCATACCAATGAAAGGGAGAATGGTCCATTCCATTTGGTTTTACCCTGAATTGGAGCATGCCTACGAAATTGGTAAGCTTCATTCCAATCGGTTACATTCTGTACTGTGTAACATATTTATGTATAATGATGAAACCTCAACAATTTTATCGTCTATTTGTTAACGATATGAAACTATTTAACGCTTTTTCATCTGTTTGTTAACAATTATCTGAGTATTTAACGAAATCTCAACAATTTTATCATCTATTCGTTAACGATATGAAACTATTTAACGCTTTTTCGTCTGTTTTGTTAACAATTATCTGAGTATTTAACGAAATCTCAACAATTTTATCGTCTATTCGTTAACGATATGAAACTATTTAACGAACTAACTATTTACCAATTTTTCATTTAAGAAAAAAATTCAAAAATTTCTACTAGTGAAAGCAATCGGCTGACATATTTGCTAGAATGTTTGAGGAAATATGATGAAGATAATCAAACTAAGATGTCAGAATCGAACGCCAAACTCCAGGATACATCATCATCATCCATTAAAGCTTCCAACATACCTACCGAAATTGTTTCTTCTGATAGTAATGAGAGCGGTAAAGAGCAAACATCAAAGATATCAGAATCGAGCGCCAAACTCCAGGATACATCATCATCATTATTTATTAAAGATTTTAGGAACAAACCCACCAGATTTGATCATCAACCAAGTAAAAAGAAATCCAAGATGCCCGAGAAGTCTAAGAAATCATCTTCCATTAAAGCTTTTAACAAATCTACTGAGGTCGTTTCTTCTGATGATGAAAGCCACCAACCAAAAAAAAATAGCAAGAATAGCAAAAAGAAATCCAAATCTAAGAAGTCTAAGAAGTAAAGAAAACGAAAACAATCAACTTTTCGATCAGATTCTCGGTCAAATTCAAGTTCAGAGAGAACTAGCGGATTGGAAACTGATTCTAGTCCAGCTGCTCCCAGGAAAGTAACTTATCACAGTTTAACAGAATTACCAAAAGATACGAAAGATAACTTGCGTGTAAGTAATTATTTTATTTTGAATTTATTTAAATGCATAAAACTAACACAAATAAATATTTAGCGAGAAGTAAAATGGAATATCAAACGAATGCCTACAGGCAGTCAACTCGACATCAATAAAACTTTCGAGTCGCAGAAGGATCTGGTAACGAAAATAATTATTCCCGCTCTATTCAAAGTGTTAGATACCAATACGTATCCGGTTAGTGAAGGCGTGCTATACGAAATGATTCATCAGCGCCACCGCCATCAGAGAGAAGATTTATTAAAAAAAGAGAAATCCGAATTTGAGCGAACTGAAGAAACCAAAAGAAAACATGGCAATTCACGCCGAAGCGAGGTAATATTATATTAATTGAGTTTATTTATGAAACATTAGCTAATTAGCCATTAAAATTGAGAGAATAGAAACGAATAAGACGAACGAACATGGTCAGACATTTACAACTATTAGACGATCCAATTGTCTCAAAGTTAAAGAAATCGGAACTCAATCCAATCATGTTAGAAAATGCATATCATAGTCCGGAGGAGTCCGAAGTTAATTCGGACTAGAGCTCCGAACAGGTCAGCCAAATTCAGGTAACCTGACCTGACCTGACCTGAAATTCAGGTCAGGTATGAGATTTTTAAAAAAAATTCAGGTCAGGTATGAAG